GCAGGAACGCGCTGATGTTCAACAGCGAGCTCATGGCCGACGTCCACTTCGTCGTGGGCCCTCTGGGCGCAGCCCGCAGGGTGCCTGCGCACAAGGTCGGTAGACACTGGTCGCTGCCGAGGACGGCCTGACCTCTGCCGGGTGCGGCAGCGGCTTTAGGCGGGAGGGCCCGGCTCAGGGCAGCTTTCTCGCCCGCAGTACGTCCTGGCCGTGGGGAGCTCCGTCTTCTACGCCATGTTTTACGGCGACCTCGCGGAAGTCAAGTCAGAAATCCACATTCCCGACGTGGAGCCAGCGGCCTTCCTGATCTTGCTGAAGTAAGTGGCGTGGCGCTGCAGGCGCGGGCGGGAGACCCTGTCGAGAATGCGCGCGCGCGCGGCCGCATGGCCCTGATGGGTCCCCACCTGCCAGGTACATGTACAGCGATGAGATCGACCTGGAGGCTGACACAGTGCTGGCCACACTGTACGCGGCCAAGAAGTACATCGTCCCTGCGCTCGCCAAGGCCTGCGTCACCTTCCTCGAGACCAGCCTGGAAGCCAAAAATGCCTGTGTCCTGCTGTCCCAGAGCCGGCTGTTCGAGGAGCCGGAGCTGACCCAGCGCTGCTGGGAGGTCATCGATGCGCAGGCCGAGATGGCGCTGCGGTCCGAGGGCTTCTGCGAAATTGACTGGCAGACGCTGGAAATCATTGTGCGCAGGGAGGCACTCAACACCACGGAGGCGGTGGTTTTCGAGGCCGTCCTGAGCTGGGCCGGGGCCGAGTGCAAGCGCCAGGGCCTGCCGGTCACGCCGCGCAACCAGCGGCGAGTCCTGGGGCCGGCCCTCTACTTGGTGCGCATCCCCACCATGACCCTGGAGGAGTTCGCCAACGGCCCCGCCCAGTCGGACGTGCTGACGCTGGAGGAGACGCACAGCATCTTCCTGTGGTTCACAGCCGCCAACAAGCCCCTGCTGGACTTTCCCCTGGCCAAGCGCAAGGGCCTGGCTCCCCAGCGCTGCCGCCGCTTCCAGGCGTCCGCCTACCGCAGCAACCAGTGGCGCTACCGCGGCCGCTGCGACAGCATCCAGTTCGCCGCTGACCGCCGCGTGTTCATCGCCGGGCTGGGCCTGTACGGGTCCAGCGCGGGCCCGGCTGAGTACCGCGTCAAGATCGAGCTCAAGCGCCTGGGCGCGGTGCTAGCGCAGAACCTGACCGGCTTCGTGTCGGACGGGTCCAGCAGCACCTTCCCCGTGTGGTTCGAGCACCCGGTTCAGGTGGAGCAGGACGCCTTCTACACGGCCAGCGCTGTGCTGGACGGCAGTGAGCTCAGCTACTTCGGGCAGGAGGGCATGACAGAGGTGCAGTGCGGGAAGGTGACCTTCCAGTTCCAGTGCTCCTCAGACAGCACCAACGGCACTGGGGTGCAGGGTGGGCAGATCCCCGAACTCATCTTCTATGCCTGAGCCCAGCAGGGGCACCGTGGGCAGGCCCTGGCCAGCGCTCTGGCAGCCAGGGCTGAGCTGGGCACATGGGGCGCAGGACGCTGAGATACAGGGTGCAAGGCAGGCCATCCCACGCAGTAGCAGCCCTACTGCCCTCCGGCCCCCTGCTCTGGAGACCTCCCCTCAGCATCTGGTAAGGAGACGCCCTGGCCCCTGTGCTGTTTCAGGGGGTTTCATAATAAAGTTTTCCTCAGTGAGGGCCTGCGGACGGCTGACTGGCTGCAGCACCCTGAGCGGGGAGCCCCTTCACCCACAGAGAGGCCCAGCTGTGGGAGAGCCGAGCCCTACGTCTGCCCGCCAGCTCCCTGGCTCTGGTGCCCCGAAGAGCTAGGAGCAGCCTGTGCAGCGGGCAGGGTCACTACTGGGTCCAGCAGGCTGCTGCTCCCTGGCCTGCAGGTGCGCTGTGGGGGCTGGCCTGGGGGCGTGCAGAGGACCCTCACCTATGGCAGGCGCGTTGATGCACAGCTCTCGGGCCAGGAGCAGGAAGGTCTTCCCCAGCACGTATACGTTCACCTGTCAGGAGGGACGGGCGTGGTGGTGCTCGGGTTCAGGGAAACCTGCTCTTCCCCAACCCTCAAAGAGCCCAGGGAGATGCCCGGACACACCAGCACCTCTCCCTTCCCTGGCCCACCAGTGCCCCACCCCACCCACCCAGGGCCCACAGCAGGGCACCCCAGCCTCAGGGCCATAAGACCCCAGACCTGGCCCCTGGCTCAGCCTGTGGGCCACACCCTGCCCTGTGGTGGCCGGCACCTGAGTCAGCTGTGCTGGGTGAGAAGGGGACCCCCTCTTGCGGGAGGGCCCACCGTTTTTTCCAGCTCCTGCTGGGGCCTCACCCAACCCCAGCTGGCCAGGCACCCACCTGGTTGGAGGTCAAAGCCACTGTGTCCAGCCTGAGCTGGGGGCTCTGGCCAGCACTCCTTGGGCCTCTGGTCACAGGCCTGTCCCCTTGGCTAGACACCAAGCAGCAAGGGGTGTGAAGAGGTAGGAAGCTCCCCTACTCCCTTCCAAGCCGCCAGGGCCTTCCTGGGACGTCTCTGGGCACCAGGCTCCCCACTTGAAACTGTCCGATCAGGTGCTGAGAGGACCCTGCTACCCCCCCACCAGATGCTGAGAGCTGGGGGGTTCGCATGCTGGGTCATGTCTGCCATCACTGCCCAGGGGACCTCCAGGTGCCCCTCCAACCAGGCACCCCCCGGCTCAGCCACCTAGAAAGGAGCAGCCCCATGGAGGCGCCTGTAAAGCCGCAGGGCCCAGGCTGTGGGGGGAGGCTGGCGGCCCGGGGGGAGGGCGCCTGGCCTCTCCTTGCAGGCAGGACTGCCCGGCCACAGGACGACCCCGCACCTGTGTCCACTGCACCCCTGGGGGTTTCCCAGCTTCCCACATCCCCCACCTGGAGCAGGTCACTGAGGTCCAGGAGCATGTCTGCAAGGGGTCAAGGAGCACGTGCACTGGGCACCTCCCACAGCAGGCGCGGCAGGGCCCTGCGCCAAGCCCTCCCAGGGGCCCCGGAGTGCTGCCGGGCCCCGGGGCAGATGCAGGATCTCACAGTCGTGGGCCAGCAGGTCAGGCGGCCGCTGCCCCCAGGTGGCTTCAGCTAGGCCAGTGTGGACGGGAGTCAGCCCTGCTCAAGACCAAGCAGAACCCCGCAGGCATCGGGCTCGGGGGGACAGAGGCCAGGCCACCCTTGGGTGTGGCCACGGGGCAGGTGCAGACAGATGGGGCCTGTGAAGGGCCTGGAAGCCCAGGAGACAGATGGGGGCAGGCCCCTTCCCATGCAGGGGGGCTGGCTGCAGCCTCCGCCCTGGTCGCCACCCACCGCCCCCCCGGGCCCGCACCCCGGAGGGCACCGGTGCCCTGGCCCACTTGGCTAGGCTGTCAGGGCCAGGGCGCCACCAGCCACACTAGTTGTGACTTAAGTGGATGAAGCCTGACAGTCATCTGGACACATGCTAGGGCAGCCCAAAGGATACGCGGAGTGCCCTCGGTGCGGCACACCAGGTAGAGGCAGGCGGCCACCACGTGGGCCATCTTCCGGCCGCGGGTCAGGTGCTTGCTCACGGCCATCTTGAAGAAGTTGAAGGCCGTGTCCAGGCAGTGCTGGTTCAGCTGCAGCTGGTTCCCCAAGTGGTGGATCTGACGCCGCCCTGGGACACGTCACAAGGCGTCGCCGCCGGCCCCGCCCCTGGCTGCACCACCCTCCTCGGCCCGCGCTCCCGTGACAGGTTCCTGGGGGTGCCTGGCATTGCCGCTGCCCACCACAGGTAGGGCCTCCCGCTGGCCTGGCCGGGCGCCCACCCAGGGCCTCACTGTCCCTGCCAGCGGGCTGGGCCAGAATGCTGCCCTCACCCTTCACTGCGCTGGCCACGCTCTGGAAGAGGTCCCGGATCAGAGCCCCTGGACAGCACGCAGAGCCCGGGAGGGGAGGCCACTCCAGGCGCCATCCATGAGCCTCTGGGCCCTACCACAACCCGTGGGGGCTGCCCTATGGCCACAGGAGGCCAACCATGGCCCCCAGGAGCCCCAGAGGCACACAGGTCCCAAGAAGAACCAGCGTCTCAGGGCCCCCAGGCTCCAGACAGAGCACCGAATGGGCCCGGGCCAGGCAGCCCATGCCCAGGTGAGTGCCACTCCCTGCCCTGTGAGGAGGACCTGGGCGGCAGCGAAGGCCCAGCCGGCCCTTCTGCAGCACCTCACGTCGGGGCCCACAAGGACACCCGGCCCACAGGTCCTGGCCATTAGCTATGGGCCCTGGCTAGGCCACTCACCCCCAGAACCACTACCTACATGGCCGAGCCAACTCAGGGGCCCCAGCACAGGGGCCCCACACACGGGGAGCTGCAGCAGCACCCAGAAACAACCAGCCAGTTGTGGGCTGTGCACGGCCACACTCGGAGCCAGACTCTGGGAGGCCGGGGGCCAGCCTGAGCCACCGCCCACAGGACGAAGGGCCGGCACGCCTTGCCTGCAGAGGTGACCACCTGCAAGGCCAGCTGGCCCTCCCTGGAGACGGCCGCTGGGCGGCCACTCTGCGCTGAGGCCCAGGGCAGGGCAATGCCTGGAACCCACGGGTCCTGGAGAACCCAGTCTGGGCTAGAGAACCTGCCCTGCCCACTCCCGAGGCCTGACCACCCGGCTTAAGATTCACATCCTCTCCTGAGGGCCTTTGGAACCTGGGGCCCAGGGGCCACCCCCGGGCTTACACTAGAAAAGGAGCAAGCAGGGGCAGCAGAGAAGGCCGAGATGGAGCAGGCAGGAGCTGGAGGACAGTCTCCAGGGAGCACACTCGATGGGCAGCAAAGAGGGCTGCCACGGGGCTGGCGGCACCTTGCCTGGAAACCCATCAGCCCTGGCATGCGGGGGGCTCAGTGGGGACCGCCCAGTGGACAGCAGTCAGTAGGCCCTGACCAGATGGAGGCGCCAGGAACCAAGAAGCCCACTGCCCCCTGCGGGTCACCAGCCAGCAACACAGGCTGAGGCAGTGCAGACAGAAGAGCAGCCTGGCCTCTTCCAGGGGGCAGCCCACCTGGCGGGGCTGAGGCCGGCTCCAGGGACGGGCACTGACTGTGTGACACCAAAGGGCAGAGGGTGGGCCTGGCTGCCAAGCACACCCGGGGCTTCTGAGAGGGGTTCCTCAGGCCGGGTGGGCACAGTGACCTCGGACTCAGAGGTGGGGGGAGGTGACCACAGACCCCTGAGGTGGCAGTGGGAGCACTAGGCCGCCACCCTGACCCCTCCCTTGCGAGTTCACAGGGATCTTAAATGCAGCCCCCCAAACAGGACGCGCAGCTCTGCGGGCAGTCAGCGCCTCAGCCAGGAAAGCCCAAGCCACGCCCCGCCAGTGCGCCCAGCAGAGTTCCCCTGAGGAGCCCCTCCCGGCACAGCCCCGGCTCCCGCAGACTCGGGGAGGAGGTGCAGGTCTGGGGCGAGGCTGGAGCTGGGAACACCTGGCGCAACGCAAGGAGGCGGCTGCTCCAGACCGGTCTGCGGCAGCGAGAAGCGGAGGCACCGGCGGCTGGGCTGGGGGCGAGAGCGCTGCTTGGGCAGAGAGGCGGCACGGCCCCGCTGCAGTCCAGCAGATGAAGCTCCCGGGAGACCCCAGGGGAGACCGCGGGGAGATCCCAGGGCGGGCGGGGTGCTCCGGAGCGGCCCCAGGCAGGTACCGTTCTGCAGGGTCTGCGCTCTCGACTCCTTGCCCAGGCTCACGTGGAAGCCGCCACCCAGGGTCGGGGTCTTTCCAGCACCTGGAACACAGAGCACGAGGTCAGGGGACTCAGGCCGGGCCCCGCCCCCAGCCACGCCAGGGCTCAGCCTCACTTAGAGCCACAGGGGTCCGGCTTCTGTGCATAAGCCGCATAAGCTGGCCACCGCCCTCCCAGGAGGGACCCTCCCAGGAGGGACTGACGCAGAGCATGGAGGTAGACTCTGGGGGACACTGTGCACCACCCCAGTGGAGGGCGCGGGGTGCGAGGGGGGGACACACAGGCTCAGAAATTACAGGACTCTGAGGCCAGGTTTCTGCTGTTGGCTGCCAGCCCAGCAGGTGGCCAGTGGGCCAGTCCTCCGGGGTGCCATGGCCCCAGTGTATCCCTGATTTCAGCCAATTCCCAGACGATTGCCAACAACTGTTACAATCTCAGCCACGGGCCCCGCTGGGGGCACCAGGGTCCATCTCAGCCCTGCGATGCTGTGGGCAGCCCCTGCCGCCTGAGCCACCCCCAGGAGGGGAGTAGACCCCCAGGCCCCTCCTGTCTTGCTCCCCACCCCGTCTCTGCAGTGACGCAGGGTCTGGAGGTCAGCCCACCGGGCCCTCTTCCAGGTTTTGTTCCGCTGTCTGATCTCAGACCTGCCACCTGCGCTGGTCACTGCCCAGACTGGCCACACCCTGGCCACTGACACCTTCCCAGCTTTTATTTTAGAAAAAGAAACATACTGCCCTATTGCTTCAATGAAGCTGGACATGAGCCTCCTGCCAGTGTGGGGGGCATGGTGTTGACCGCTGTAGTTCCACCTACCAGAAAGAGGACAAGGCTTGCCCCGCACACCCCTGCTCTGCAGGAAGAAGGCAGGGCCCCGCCCACCCGTGGGGCTGTGGCTGCCAGAGGAAGGCAGCAGCCCGGAGGGGCTCAGCCCCCAGTTCCCAGGTTGCTCAACAGGAAGCAGGGGGTAGGGAGCAGCACCAGGCGTGGCCTCAGCAC